CAGTTTGGGTGCTTTGTTAGGCTTCTTCAGTTTCCGTAGTTTCACTATTAGTTGACATATAACAAAGTATAAGAAAAATGTTACGTAAGTGAGTTGTCACCGTTGGTAAACTGCACTTTTTAAGATCACTTATATCGTCAAACCAATCACTAGCCAGAATATGTTGGCGCCAATTAGAAAGAACGCTATTCTGTTCTTTTACTCTTTCTCTTTTCTGCCAAGACCTGTCAAGCACAGGACGTCAACATCGTCTCTGATTCTACCTACACTTTGACATGAGAGCCGTACGTAAACGAAACCATTCTACAGCACCAAGGACTTCAGTTAAGTGGACTTGTATTGTTTAATTATAATATAGCCGCAAACAGAACAATTTGTTTGCAACAAGAACTATTATTTCTATAGTATTTGTATATAATAGTATTTGTATATATTTCAATAATATTCCTTTTAACTTTCAATTTGCGTTCCGTGTTATTACTGTATTGATATTATTTGCGGCTTAAATCGCCATAAGGCGACGATCGCTTCCGCAGTCGGCACATAGGTAGGTTTTGCAGTGAACCATTGCATGCCTGAATCTGTTGTTGATAGTTATGTAGTCAATTTAGTTTTTAGTTTCTCCTCCTGGGCCCTTCCATGTCCATAATCGTCTCGGATGTTTTTGGAACCATGTGTTAGCTATTACCTGGTCACCGGCCGTGCACCATTGGATCCATTTTTCTCCACGTTCGTTGCGGGTTCCTAATCCGAATTTTCCAGCTATATCCCCCTGCCCTCTCCCTGCATTCTTTGGCATTTAGGTCACCCATAATAATTATGACTACTTCCGATTTATAATGAACCTTGGCATTGTCTAGCATGAAGTAGAAAGATTCGATTTCTTCTTCCTTACTTTGCGCTGTCGGTGCATACACTATTATGATAGCTATGTTTAAAGGCTTTTCTTTCAGCTTGACTACCAGAATTCTTTCGGATAATTGGTAGTATCCCAGAACGCATTTCTTGAATTCTTGATCTAGTATCAATCCTATTTTTTATCGTTTTTCTCTCTGCCTGCATAAATAATCCTGTGAATGTCATTGACAAAATCTCCATTGTTTGGCCATCTAGTTTCACATTCACCTAAGATTTTTAGCTTACTCATATCTTGTTTTACATTATCTAACTGACCACAGTTGTTCAACGTTCCGAACGTTCCATGTCCCGGGAATTATTTTTTGTTTGATACGCGCAGTCACAAGATAACGGTCCGGTGACACATGTCACTCATGTCGCTCCTTTCCGGGCGAGAGATAGGTTCCGAGGAATTTTATCCCCTTTACGCCGTTTGTGCTGGCAGTACCTGGATGACGATCAAGTGACACCTGTTGCACACATCAGTAATTCCCATAGACTTAACCACTTTCACGTCGATTGGTTTCATAAAGTGTGTGTTCTTTGCCATGATATTACTTGGGATTAATTGTGAACTGATTTCCCGCTTTCCTTCTCTAGGGTGGTTTATGGAGACACCACCTCTAGTTAGCTGGCCGTTGACTCATCGAGTGTGCTTCTGCCCTTTGTTAGGTCTTATTTTCTTGCCCTACTGGCTTACTAACAAGCTGCCTCATTCGCAATAACTTGGAGAGGGATAGCCGGGTTAGTCGCAGATATTTGGACTATATATATATATATATATATATATATATATATAATATATATATAGGGAAAATGTTACGGTTGTTCCAAAGTGAGAAAAATGTATATTTTAAAAAAAGAGAGAAGCCTCAAACGTTTTTGTTTATAATGTGGATTTGTTTCAGTTTATATATTATTGTAGCAGGGGCGATATCACCCCTGAAATAATAATAATGATAATAAAGGGAAATATGCTGTAAAACAGAAAACACCAAGGGAAGAGAAGAGTTTTCAAATATCAGATGTTAAAATGCTGTAAAGATTTTGAAATGAAAATATTACAGAAAGTTAATTTAGAACATGAAATACAATCTTTTTGTAAGTGTACAAAGGATATCAGATTACTAATAGAAAATTACTGGAACAATAATAATTTGAAACTTTTAGGAAAAGAAATGGATTTTGACACTATAAGAATCGAAGATAAAATAAAGGATGTTTTGATTTAGAATTTATTTTTGAAACAAGAGTCTCTGTAGTTTACAAAGAGTGGCAGAGTGATTGAGAGTGAGGTGATAAACAATAGACCCTTGGAAACCAATCAATGAAAAAGTAAATTGTTTACTCTCGGGTGAGTGAAATTTTACTTTATGTCAGTACGTTCGCACTAGAAAAACAGATACGTCACCAGTTTTCTATATAAAGAGGCGAGCCAACCGGAAGAACGGAGAGTTTTTAGGTGAGTCTGTCTACGAATTAAGTCGATCTGAGTAGAGAGACGTCAGAGATTGAAAAGAAAGCGCCCGCTCTGTGTTGCTGAAACGGAGGGTGAGGAAGCGAAAACCGTCACTAACATCTAAGTACCGCTACTCCTGCTACTACTAGTACTATTACGACTACTGAGAACGGGAACATCGAAGGTTGTAGTAGTTGCGCTAAGAACAGACCCAAAAAGTTTAAAACGAAGGCTGCATCTCTCCTTACTTAAATTATTCGAAGTATTTATGTTTGTTTGGTTATTGTTCACATACACGAAACAATCAACCTTGAGCAATAAGAATTATTTTTATGTGTTTGCTTTTATATATATATATATATATATATATATATATATATATATATATATATTCATGAATCATTCATACAAAAAAACAAATATAGAGGTTAATGATTTAAATGACGTGAATACATCTTCGCAAACAATATCAATAAGATACACCAACCCCGAACATGTATATGAATGATATGATCCCTGTTTATAAATTCCAGTTGCATAAGGTCTTTTTAATTTTTTACAAGCTTTCGTCTATTCCTACAGACATCCTCAGGTAATAAGAGGACAACGAAAATAGAGATGTAATCCGAAAAAATTCTAGGAGAAATGTGTTATTGTTTTGAAACGTGCGGTCGCAACGTTGAGTTTGAATTTTAAATTTTAAGGCTGTGCGTTTTTGTACAAATATAGTAATAAGAGAATTCTTTTTTACTGGTACGTTTTCCGTCAATGTGGCATGAACTATATTGTTCAATAATTACAGTAATGTCACACTTATTATCCGAAAGTTGCACGTTGGATCAGTTATTTTAATTTCAATTATAGGTGCAATTATAATTTATAAATTCATGAATCATTCATACAAAAAAAAATATATATATATATAGAGGTTAATGATTTAACATTATTTCCATTCCTGAGGATGTCTTTTGATTGGTTCCGAATGAAAACCAAACGCAGCTATCTTCCCACAAATCGAAATGTATCAAAATATTTTTGAAATTCCAACGTTCAAGCAAGAGCACATCACGGCGTCTGATTTATTTCAGAAAAGCAGACGATACACGCTCAAACAGCTGAGATTTATTATACTAGCAATAAGACTGAAAGAACACATGCCTTTCAGGTAATTAGTGTAAAGTGGGATGTATGACAAAACAAACATCATTAGGACAAATAATATAAGGAATTTTTAAATATATTTTTATTATTGCAGTTTGTTAATTCTCTTATGTAACCATATTATACTGATTTATGTTTTTGGTCCGCGATTTGCAAAATCAATTTTTATTAATTTTTAATCAGTTCATGGGTCCATCAATAAGTTCTATGCCTCGACTGGTAACAGGACAAAATCCCCGCATCTTAAAAGTGAACAAAACAAATCTCATAAATAGGTTTCCTATATTAAAAAAAAAATTAACATTGAAAATTTAAGGAACTTTTAATTCCAATTTTACTGTCAAGTAGAAACAACAATAATAATAATAATAATATCCAATATGTTGTTGAGTGTAAAGCGTGGAAACTATTTTGCAAACGATGGACGAATTATACCCTCTTGAAAAGCGGAGGGAAATTCAAGTGACTATGTTTGAAAATCGTCTTGGTCAAGCCGTCATGAAAATATATCAAGATATGCATTTCACAACAGATGGATCTGAATGGACTGTCACAGAAATTATAGATGTCTTGGAGGAATATACGATCGGTGGTATCAACGAAACCTACGAACGTTTTGTGTTCCGACAATGAAGACAAGATGAGGCTGAGTTCTTCGAAAATTTTCTCAGTAATTTGCAAGTTCTGTCGAAAACGTGCAATTTTTGTAACAAGTTCTAAGACTCCATGATAAGGGGCCAAATTGTTACTGCTATAAAAGACCATGACACATGACAAGACCTACTGAAAATTCAAGGCCTTAATCTTCAGCGGGCAATAGACATTTTCAGAGAAGCTGACAAAGATGCTGTACAGAACCTAGGCATGAGGACTGAATCAACGCATATTCATGAGATGAATGTAGCTGAAGAAAAGCATGCTTCACGCCAGGGACGCCAATTTTGTGATTTCTACTACACTCCCAGACGGAACAAATGTCCTGCATATGGAAAGATTTGCAATACATGCAATAGAAATAATCACTTTTGACCCAGATGCCCTAACCTAGAATGGAAAACAGCCAAAAAAAAAAAATCAATGAAGCAAAACGAAAGGGAGACAACAGAGATTCACAACGACCCCATATACACTTCTTGGACATCGACTCAGATGAGGACAGTGATGAACACGTACAGTAGGTAAATGCTGTCTCTCTAAAAAAAAAAAAAAAGAACAACAAAGATGCTAAGTGCATGATGCTACTAAAGAAAAGAAAAGGTAATATTCCAGATTGACACTGGAGTATCTGTTAACATGCTCCCCGAAAGATATTCGAAACACATCAATCCGTACCAAGGAGTAATAAGAAGTGGAACAATAAGAAGTGAAAACCACTAGACATGTGTCGATAGGTTATCAAAAACCCAAAGAACAACAGAAAGTACTCGGCGCAATTTCCGATTTTCAAAGATGAGAAATGTTGGGTCTTCGAGCATACGAGCAGATGGGTCTTGTTGCCATAAACGACGAGAATTTTCACCGCATTGCGGCTATAGGGGTGGAACAAGAGTTCAAGAAAGTGTTTAATGACAAATTTTACGAGTTACTCGGTGTTGCATCATTGCAGTTGAAGCCTGATGCCATCCCAGCTGTGATGGCAAATAGAAGAGTGTCTGTTTTGGTCCGATTTCAATTAAAGGCAGAATTGAAAAGATTAACCAAATTGGGCGTCATTGAACCTGTAGACAAACCTACATCATGGGTTAGACAACTGGTCGCAACTAAAAAGAAAGATGATTCCCTGAGAATATATCTGGACCCACTTGAGATTAATAAAGCTCTTATCCGGAAACACTACACCATGCCTATCCTGGTGGACGTACTCCATGACATGAAAGATGCCAGACTTTTTACCAAGGCAGACCTATCCTCAGGGTATTGGCATATGAAGTTTGATAACGAGTTGAGTGACCTAACCACCTTCCAGACATGTTTTGGACGTTTCTGTTGGTTGAGATTGCAATTTGGACTGAACTCTGCCTCTGAAATATTTCAGAGGAAAATGCTTGAGCACTTTCAAGACTTAGAAGGCACGGCTATCATCGTTGATGACCTGATGATATTCTGTACTAATCGGAAAGAGCTTGATAAACGGGTACAGGCACTGATTGAAAGATGTCAAACAACAGGAGTCAAACGACCCTGAAAAATTTGAGATAAGACTGCATGCCATCACCTTCATGGGGCACCGGATCACAAGCAAAGCCGTTGTGGTAGACCCAGAGAATGTTAGTGCAATCCAGAACATGAATGATCCGGAAGATATAGGAGAATTGCGCAGATTCCTGGGGATGGTTAATTATGTGGGCAAATTTGTCCCCAACTTAACCTCCATCATTAAGCCTATTCAGAAAAGCAAGCCACATGGATGAGGGCCGAATCACAACAACCCGCGTTTGACTCGGTGAAAAATTTGATTAGCAGTGCACCAATACCTGCCTACTATAATCCACATTATTCTGGATTTGACACTGGAAAATGATGGCAGTGAATATGGCATGGGAGCAGCCATGATGCAAAAAGAGAGACCTGTTGCATATGAAAATCGTTCACTGTCGGACACAGAAAGACGTTATGCCCAAATACAATAAGAAATGTTGGGAATGGCCTATGGACTAGCGAAATTTTACCATTATACATATGGAAGACATGTGAAGGTTTTGACAGACTATAAACCTCTCTAGTGTCAATTTGTGCAAAGCAGCTATCAAAAGCTCCTAAAAGGCTGCAAAATCTCCTGATGAGGGCACAGCATTATAACTTCTCACCACAGTACAGACTAGATAAGGAGATTTCACTAGCAGATGCCTTTTCTCGTCCATCAACGGCAGGCCAGTAAAAGAAGAACTGTTGATAGTGAACAATCTGACGCTGCATTCAATTCAAGACCATAGGTTGGCACAGATCCGCAGATACACGGCTGAGGATACAATAATGATGGCGCTTGTCACAATTATTGCTAAAGGGTAGCCCAATGAAAGGAGATACCTTCCTGGCAACATAAAATATATTTATATAAAACATAAAAATTAAATAAATAAATAAGAGGAGGGGAGATGTTAAGTGTAACAAAAATAGGAAGGAAGTTCAAGTCCTGGAGACGATGTTCCCGATGTACTGGAATGGCGTAGTAAATAAGACACTGTTGGATTATAATCTTATCATTCTATACACACTCATAACTTAACAAAGTTATATGAAACAGAAAGAACAGTCAGTGACAAATCTGAAACGAAACAGTCAGAGAATAGGCCCGATCGCGAGAAACGTTACCATGACAACGCGCCGGCCGGCGATGATTTTTTTCACGTACAAAGCCGCGACGAAAGCTGTCTCAGGTTCTCTTTCTTTGTTTACCGTGTTTTATTAACGTGTGCTTCACACAGATATTGGTGTACATAACTTTGAAATTTGCAGACTCACTTGCATCAAAATAACTTCAAACTTTACAAACACACTTGCAACAAAATAGCTTCGAACATTGCAGTTTAACTTGCATCAAAATAACTTCGAATTATGCAGACACACTTGCAACAAAACAAATTCGAACTTTGCAGACTCACTTGCGACAAAATAACTTTGAACTTTGCAGTCTCCCTTGCAACAAAATAACGTTCAAATTTTCAGACTACTTGCATCAAAATAACTTCGAACTATGCAGACACACTTGCAACAAAATAAATTCGACCTTTCCAGGCTCACTTGCAACAAAATAACTTCCAACTCTACAGTCTCTCTTACAACAAAATAACTTCCAAATTTTCAATGTCACTTGGATCAAAATTACTTCGAAATTTGCAGGCTCACTTGCAACAAAATAATTTCCAACTTCGCAGGTTCACTGGTAGCAAAATAATTTCCAACTTTACAGATACACTTGCAACAAAATATCGTCCAAATTTTCAGAGTCACTTGCATCAAAGTAACTTTGAGCTTTGCAGTCTCCCTTGCATCAAAATAACTTCGAACTATGCAAACACACTTGAACAAAATAACTTCGAACTATGCAAACACACTTGCATCAAAATAACTTCGAACTATGCAAACACACTTGCAACAAAATAACTTCGAACTATGCAAACACACTTGCATCAAAATAACTTCGAACTATGCAAACACACGTGCAACAAAATAACTTCGAACTATGCAACTAACAAAATAACAAACACAGACTCACTTGCAACAAAATAATTTCCAATTTTCTGGCTCATTGCAAAAAATAACAACTTTGCAGACTCGCAACAAAATAACTTCGAACTTTGCAGGCTCACTTGCATCAAAATAACTTCGAACTTTACGCGTTAACTTGCAAAAAATAACAAATTTGCAGACTCACTTGCATCAAAATTAAACTTTACAGACCTACTAACTGCACATTGCAGGACCACTTGCAATGAAATAACTTCGAACCAGGCTGCAAAACAAATAACTTCGAACGTTTTAGGCTCAAACAAAATAACTTCCAATTTTCCTGGCTCACTTGCAAAAAAATAACTTCGAACTTTGCAGACTCACTTGCAACAAAATAACTTTCGAACTTTGCAGGCTCGCATCAAAATAACTTCGAACTATGCAAAAAATAACTTCGAACTATGCAAACACACTTGCATCAAAATAACTTCGAACTATGCAAACACACTTGCAACAAAATAACTTCGAACTATGCAAACACACTTGCAACAAAATAACTTCGAACTATGCAAACACACTTGCATCAAAATAACTTCGAACTATGCAAACACACTTGCAACAAAATAACTTCGAACTATGCAAACACACTTGCATCAAAATAACTTCGAACTATGCAAACACACTTGCAACAAAATAACTTCGAACTATGCAAACACACTTGCAACAAAATAACTTCGAACTTTGCAGACTCACTTGCAACAAAATAATTTCCAATTTTCCTGGCTCACTTGCAAAAAAATAACTTCGAACTTTGCAGACTCACTTGCAACAAAATAACTTCGAACTTTGCAGGCTCACTTGCATCAAAATAACTTCGAACTTTACGCGTTAACTTGCAACAAAATAACTTCCAAATTTGCAGACTCACTTGCATCAAAATTACTTCCAACTTTACAGACCTATTTGCCACAAAATAACTTCGAACATTGCAGGACCACTTGCAATGAAATAACTTCGAACCAGGCTGTTTCACTTACAACGAAATAACTTCGAACGTTTTAGGCTCACTTGTAGCAAAATAACTTCGAACTTTGCAGGCTTACGTGCAACAAAAATCATTTTTGAACACTCGAACTATTATTGGTCTTTTCATAGCCAAAACAAAAAACATTTATTTTCATTATGTACCACTACACTGTCATATTTAGCTTTTTCCTTTTTCTGCTATGTAATAATAGCATTTCCTCGCGTTGTTTTTATATTGTTTATTTGTGGAATTTTATTTTTCCACCTAAAATCCGCGTAGAGACTGTCCTCACAAATCTTATGTGTCTCCCAAAAAGTGTACAAAATTGCCACTTGATTTTTGTCATGGATTCGCTGAGTGTGGTCGGTAACCGAGAAAAACTCACAAAAACAATTTTGGCGAGAGAAAAAGTCACAATTAATTTATGATGGCCGGTCTAATTCTGTCTGGTACTTCATGGGTTTATGGGTCCGCTTTTAATTTGCTATAGAAATTCATTGTAAGTAAATCGATCCAACCTCTAACGAATGTTTTCTAAACAATGCTACGATCGCACATTCGATATATTTCAATTTCATTGAAATATATCGAATGTGCTGCACCGTTAGACCGTTGCATTTCTTCGGGAGTCCTAGTATCCCATAAAAGTAAAACTCGATTTTTATGTGAAGAAAGTCTCAATTTGACATAAAAAATGAATAGAAGTTCCTTGAATTTTCAATTTACGATGAGACTGGATTTTGTCCACTTTTGGTATAAGTGGCTGAGTTTTGTCGCTGAGTGCTTGTCCTGAGGCATTTTTTCTGGCTTAGTCTTTTTAGACCCAATGTGATTTATTTAAACTCGATCTTTTTTTTTTTTTGAGTTGGGAAAAATGTCACAACAGTGTTAAAAAAAATTATTTACAGAAATTAACAACTGGTAAATTCAACAGATCTTCACATCCTTGAACAATATCCCTTTAAAAAGGGTTACCGTTTAAGTTCTTAATCTTAAGACTCACTAAGTGTTGGATTACGATACGAAGAAAATTGATAAAAAATTAATAATAATGCTTTCAACGGAATTTGTATCACCTTTTTTGTTACTTTTTAAGTTTTGCTTACACCACTTAATGGTATGAAATATCTCTAGTACCGACATTTTACCAAATAAATTTTATTTTAATTTCTTGAGAAATGAGAATTCATTCTTTATAGTTTCTTTTTTAATAAAAATAAAAATTGAATAAACTTTATTATTTTTTCTTTTTATTTATCAATACGAAGTTGCAATAAAATAAATTCAAAATTTTGTTGTTCGTGAAGTTTTTTTCCTTCACACGACTTTATTGAATAATGCTAGCTTTTAATATGGAATTATTTAGAAAAAAAACCTTTCAGTTTTTTTTGTTGATCTCCTATTTTGTTTCAAAGTTATATTTTAATTTGTGCCTTTTTTATTTCATGAAAAATCTATGTAAACCTAAAATTATTTTCATCACTCAGAATCAATAACAAGTGAAAAACATTTCGATGTATTGTAAAGTAAATTTTAGATTTATTTCATTTACAATAAGGACAAATAGTTTTCCTTTCATCATGAAAAAATATCAACACATTTTTTAAATTATGAAAGTTCCATAAAAAAAGAAATCTGCTGATATTTTTCTTCAACTTCAGCCGCTCCATTCACAACATTATTCTAGTCTTCTTCCTTCATGATGCAAAAAGCAATGATTCTGCCTAGAAGACAAGTTTTATTTTGATTGATGTGAAAATGGAAGGGAAACTTGTGCGAACAGCATGTTTATTTGTTGAATTTTCATTTTTATTTATGCATTGTTTTGTTTTTTTTTTACTTAAGGAAAAAATGGAACCTTCGGATTCATTCAAGTTTTTAGGTTTTTGTGTGTGGTTTCCACGTGCGCCAAGTTATTTTTTCTGAGTGATCAAAAATAAACATAAAAAAAAATTATGAATTTTTAATTTATGATAAAAAAGGTAAATAAATCACTCCAATGAAAAGGGATGATGCGATCCATGATCATAAAATAAAAAAACTGATAATTTGTAAAACAAAAAAATGAATATAAAAGGTATTAGAGAAAAAAAGGAGCAGCCACACAAATACATCATAACCAGTACATTTTATTTTGAACTTTTAAAAAATTATATTCTCGGTTCCATTCCCTCAATTTTCAGACTATTATTTTACATTATTTTTTTACTATAGATTAAAAATTCTATCAGCAAAATTATTTTCATTATTGTAAATTTTAAATTAACTTTTCATTTTGACTTTTTTTTAGTTAGAGGCGTTGTTTATTAATTACAAGGTAATACAGTTTACAGTGTTCCAAACAAAACGTCTTTTCCTGTACTGCACAGTTAAAAAAACAACAGTAGCTTAATCTATAATTTCGTTTGTTTTTTTTTTTTTGTAGTAAAGGTGATATACTTGCCAACACTATATTACTGCGCATTTTGACGTCAAAATAAAAACTACAGTACAGTAATTATGTCTTTTTTTTCTTTTCGAGACAATTCAACAAAAAGAAAAAGTTTTTTTTTTTTTTACTTCCTTAATAAAATTGTTCCTGGCTACAATTAATTAGTGTTGGGTATTATTTTCCTTATTGATCTTTGTTTTTTCCTCTTTCTTTACGGAGTAGAAAAAAAAAGACTATCGTTTTTTATTATATTTTTTTTTATTCCCATTCAAAACAAAAATCCTAAAACTATAAATTTTTAACTTGTGTGAGATTTATTAATAAATTATTCATGTTTGCCACGTGGTACTAACAATGAATTCACCAGGTTGTCAGAAGTAGGTATATATCCGTACGTCCACGTTGTAAATGTGATATACAAGGTAGAATTGTTTGTTTTTTTTTTTAATGTGAAATTTCGAATACCGTTCAAAAATTGCTGAAGCACGCTCGGCACTTCCCAGAGGGGCACCTCAGTTGTATAGTATTGCCACTTTTGACCCCCACCCGACCGAGCTTGAGCTAATTTCAAACTTCCCGGCTGGAGTACCATTGACCACGTATCAAAAAGGATTGATTACATTTTTTAACATTAGCCTTTAGAGCGAAATTTTAAATACGAATTTCAGATATAAGGGCTGGTTATGTTCAGAACGTCTTCCGATAAATAAATAAATACGCTTCTTCTTTCATGCTCCACAGTTAGTGAACAAAGGATTTATTAAATTTTTTTTGTTTCATATTCCTCTGTCGTAAACTAAAAAGTAAAAATGTTCAAGGTAAAGAATAAAGATCTAAAAAAAAAAATACGGATATCGATGCTGTGTTACGCAATGAGACGGTAAAAATATTTTTTTTTAATCTAAAATTGGCTAATAATGATTCCATACAAATCGAAATGATCGTTTTTTTTTATTTGACGTGCATTTTTAAAGTAGTAATAAATGATTAAATGACTACAAGCTATTAAAAAGATTTGAAACTTAACTCGAATAAAAAAAAAACCGTTTGGCGTTTTTATAACATTTTTGGTTCATAATCGACCGAGATTTTGATTTGAACAACAAACATATGTTAAAAATCGTAGAATTAATTGTTTAAAAACGGGGGAAAACTTGTTTTCTTGACGTTTTTAGCGATAATAAAAAAATAATTGAAGGTATTTTTAAATTTAATTATGTTAATTAAAACCCCATTCATCCTATAATTTTGTAATAAATCCAAACAAAGAGAAACATCCTTCAATAAGTCGCTCAGCTACAACAAATCTCATCATACCATTTGGTCCAATAATTTGTTTTTATCCAGTTATTTTTTTAATGGGGATTTTAATTTCATGTAAATGTTCTAACTAGTAACCAGTTACTTCCTCACGATCGACACGGCTTGTTTACTGGCTATGAAATTGAACGTTCCCCTAGCATGTGGATCAACAACAACAACAGTTTCGATAATAATAATAATAATAATAGTAACAATAATAGTAATAATAATGGTAATAAGAAGAGTAATATCAGTCGTCGACTAAAATCAAAAGCACCACAAAAGACGATCGGGTTTTTTATTGACAACGTTGCCCCGGTACGATAACAATTTTCTTCGCATTGTCGTTTCTAAAACGACATTTTCTTTGTCACAAGAGAAAAACCATGTCACTTTTCTACCGTAATGCCCCCCATTTTTAAATACAATTATCTTCATTTTGTCTAGTGTCTTGACTTTTTCCGAGGTAGGGTAATTTTATTTGTCTATTTCTGGGCGAATTTGTAGTTGATTAAATCAACTCTCTTTTTTTTATCGGTAAATAAGACAGTGGATCGAATGCATTATTCGGAAGTAGTTTTTATTCAGCTTTCTCGATGACTTTTTTTAAAAGCATCTTGACGTAAGGAGGGAAAATAATATTTAAGCTACGGATGACCCTAAGTGTAATAACATGTTCAGGTAGAAAAATTAAATATACTCAATTAATATATATATATATATATATATATATATATATATAAAAAAAATAGTTTAAGATTTTTTATCTGCTTTAAACAATTTCATTGCATTTTTATGCAATACGAAAAAAAATGTTCGCAAGAAATTCTTTTATCATGTGCAGCCAATCAATCCGTAAATTCTAAATTCATTTAATTTTATTGTTCGGACAGATTTTAATTTGTTTGTTTCATTTTTTGTATTTTTAATGTTTCGGGATACAATTAGGTTAACTATGACACAATTATCGTAATTTTTTTTTTTTTTGTTCCTCGCAAGGCTTGGAAAATCTGTATTTTTGCTTTAAAAGAATTTAGCGATCTACACAAAATTAAAAATAAATTAATTTGTTGTTTAGGTATGAAAAGAAGGATTCCGAACTTTAAAAATTCATTTTTTTTTTAATTATTTAATAACCTTAGACACATTGCGAATGTCTTATTCCGATAAGTCGATCAAAAACGAAAAAAATGCTTAACAGGTCCAAATTTAAATAAGACTTTTGGAAAAAATATCTGACCGTTGAGGCCGGGTCTGATCGGTTGAAGAAAAAAAAAAAAAACTGACCATACATTTTCAGCTTACCTCATATCACAAACATCTGCTTAAAAATTTGTGAAATCGAAGGAAAAAATATTTTAAAATCCTCAAATGAATTTAATATAAAAAACAAAAATCGATTCCATCATTCTTACCTAAAACTTACAGAAAGTTGATTTTTTTTCTTTTCTTTTAAATATGGAACAACGAATAAGCGATTTTTATTTTTAGTTAATTATAGATTACTACTGCTGTCAAACATGCTTAGCTTTTTAGTTTCTTTAAGTAATTGGCGATTATTTTTTTCCATTGCAATCAAATACTTCTAAAAATAAAAAAGCAAACTGCAAAACATTTTTCTGAAAGCAAAAGAAATAAATTTTACAGTGTTAAGGATTTTAAGGTGCAATTATTTTTTTTTTTTTAATAATCATCCTGCATATGGAAGAATGAAGGCACTCATGTCAGTTATTGAATACCTGTCAATACATACTGAATGTCAAAAACATTGAAACCTGTAAATAAAAGGAAAAAAAATGACATCCCTTTTTAAATTTATATATTTTGACGGAATTAGATTTTTTTTGTTGTTATTTTTTTTTTTTTTACAAAAGTGTTTTTCTTTCTTTCTTTAAAGGTGCACGTTTTTTTTCTTGTAAAATCATTTCATGTGTGTACAAAGTGAAATCTCGCCTGGTTAGGAAAAATAAAATATGCATGGTCACGTGATCACCTTTTACTTGACTTGCCGTAATCAGCACTGAAGCCAAAGTGGAATATTAAAAGAAAAAAAAAACGCTTAAAAAATGTCATTTTTTTTTCTTGTAATTTTGTTTTAAAACCACAAAAATATTTATAAAATAAAGCATAATATAACGTAAAAAACAAATTAAATACGATTTCTTTTTTATACCGACATCACTTTTTTATTTTAAATAAAATAAAAATGAATGTCAGAAGTTTGTAAAAGTGGTTTCACTGTTCACGTGTTACTTGTATTTCTTTTAAAATTTATATTATCCATTTAAATGTCATTAATATATTAAAATACGAAAAAAAATCACCAAAAATCTGTAAATTCTTAAAAAACATTTTAATGAATATTCAAATTTAATTTACATTTTATTTAAAAAAAATTAGAAGCTAAATTTTGTGTTTAAAAACAAATTTTTTTAAATATCTTTTTTAATTCCTTGTTTTGTTTTTTTTAACGTAATAATAATCTCCTACTCTTTACAACCGAGTTCGTTTTTTTTTAATTTAATTTTTTTAATCTTGAGCTAGTTGGTTGACACAAAGTGTAAAAAAACTAAAATAAATGAGTGTATCATTTTTTGTGAGAACTTTAGGCTAACTAACAAAAAAGTAAATTCAAATAGAAAACTATAATCAGTATGTTTTGTTTTCTTATTGAGGTTTTTTGTTTACAAAAAGTTTTACTGAACCTTATATTTGACAATGATATACAATAGTGGTAAATTAAGTTTATATTCTGTTTTTTATTATTTTCTTATTTTGCGTGCATTTAGAAAATTAGGCAGAGAAACGCACTTCCTTTCATAATCTGAGAATGCTTTAAAAAATAAATTAAATATCTCAGTATTAACAAAATCACCTCCACCTCTAGTTTTTTGGTTATGTTATGATGATCAAATATTGATTTCCTGCAAGAAGCACATTACCTTACCCTTCTCTCACCTTTATAGATAACTTTTCATTTTTACAAATAATTTTTTTAGTTACAAATTATTTAAATTTCTTCATTTTATAATTGAAATGATGCTAACTAAAAATGTTAAAATACGAATCCTAAATTAATATTTCATAGCACCACATTTTACTTTATGTTTTTGTTTTGTTTCTTTTTTTTTTGTTTGTTTGTTTGTTTTTCTACAGGAAACATATGTCAAATCAAAAGCATTAAATATTTACTAAATATTTATAAATGTCAAAAATCAAGACTAGTTTTGATTTTTGACATTTATTATACTTTGATTTAGTAGTGTCTTACTCTTCTTCATCTTCGTTGTTATTACCACAGTGTTTCAAACATTGTGCCACTTGCTCTTTAGATATGTAATTGTTGGTAACCTTCCAGGAATTTCAAACCAAATCCTTTATTCAATCCATGGGTGTACTGTACAGGGTGGTCCGAAAGTCTTGTCAAACCTACATAATATAATTTTCTATTTCAAATGGCTGACATGAGCTCCTACAGTCTAGAAGAGAGGGTTAGGGTGACAAAACTTTCGGACCACCCTGCAGGTTGATCTCATTCCACTGTCTCAATTCAAAATTCTTATATATAAAATGAGTTAGTGAATAAAACAAGGACACATGAAAGGGTAGCAACATAATCAGTACAATAAACATTTATGAAATATTAATTATTAACCATATGACAGAAATGAAGCAAGGAGAGAAAGGTTTTTCAAGTTCGGAATTCTCGGACCCATCTCAGTCCTTCATCAACAGAACGAGGAATAAACAGAGAAATAGAAATTACTCACTGACAGATGTTTTTGTAGATGGTGTATTTTCTGGTGGAAATCATATTGCTAGCAAAAAACCGATCTCTGTCTGATTCATATATATATATATAAATTTGTGTATTTAGGCAGCAATCTTTCTTTCATGCACATTTCATTGAATACCACTGACAAGGTGCTTTGATTTAGTTTTTTATACAATTTCTCATGCAATCTAATAATTTTTTTTCAGATGATAAATTATATAAAAAATGTCTGAATGTTCTTTTTTTCCAAGCACTTTTGGCTATACATTTAGCCATTTTCAAGATGAAATATTTTAACTGTTAAATAAGAAATAGTTTGTTGCATGTATGTATTTATATAATGTTTTTATTTTTCAAAACACAGTCAAGATATTGTGTCCATGTTCATAGTTGATATTATTAAGTGTTATATTTTTTTGTTTTTATTAATAAGGCTTCCATTATTTTAGCCATTTTTTACATGTAGATGATGCTAGTATATTTGTGTTGTCAACAAGTATGTTACGAATAGTGTCTGGTAGGTCTCAAAAAAACCAACACTTAAAATCAACTATGAACATGGACACAATATCTTGACCATATTTTGAAAAATGAAAACATTATATAAATACATGCATGCAACAAACTATTTCTTATTTAAGAGTTAAAATATTTCATCCTTGAAAATGGCTAAATGTATAGCTGAAAGCACTCGGAAAAAAAGAACATTCGGACAGTTTTTATATAATTTACCATCTGAATAGAAAAAAATTATTAGATTGCATGAGGATTTGTATAAAAAAACTAAATCAAAGCACCTTGTCTGTTGCATTCAATGAAATGTGCATGCATATAAATATTTCAACTGAGCATGAAATGTATCAGAAAAGATTTTTAACCCACCTAATATGGGATGAAAAACATTAAGAAATTAATAATATCAAGAAAAAATATATCAACACCTCATCTTCAGTTAGATTTAGAACCAGGAAAATGACATAAATTGAAAAAGATCTTGAGTTTGTTTGTAATGCTTACAATGTTACTTTCCTTTTTACTAAAAATCATTTTGAAATTCCTCTTTTTATACTTTTGTGTGTGTATATATATATATATATATATATATATATATATATATATATATGTGTGTGTTCTTTTAGGTGGATTAAAGATTCCTCTTCCCTCTCAGCTCCTCTATGTCTGTCAATTATGCTGCCGGGCTATCTCCCTATGAAAACAAGGGCAGATGTGGACTCCCAGAAACATTCGATTCAAATGAGGAAGTTGAGCGAAAGGTTAGAGAACTTGCCAAATTGATTCGGTCAAGTAAACATGTTGTGTTTCACACTGGAGCTGGAATCAGTACCACTGCAGGAATTCCAGATTTTAGAGGGCCAAATGGTAAGTACTTTTTACTTATACTTTTTGAATTCTTCAAGGATATTGTGGATGGTAAATAAAATATTATTGTGCACATAAGTTGGTATTGAATAATGACAAAAAATTTCCTCATTTAAAAAATGTCCTTGACAATGGATTGCAGCTCAGAACGAGAAATCAGAGAGGTGTATTTAAATTCCAGTTGGGATTGTTACATTCACTTACATGGAAATAACCTTGGAAAAGGTATGAATCCATCTCCTTCTCCCCGCTATGGATTAAATAGTAAAAGTTGTGTCTGGAAAAATTGTTGTTACTCCCCAAAAAATTGTTTGTGCCATGTCCACTTGCAGAAAAAAAATTATTTTTACAACCCAAAATATGTTTCAGCTTAAAATTGTTTAATAATCCATAAAATAACAAATCAATTAATCCCACAGGCAACTTTACACCTATTATTTTCAAAACTATTATTCAGTTTGAATTTTTTAATTGTATATCTGAATAGGAGGCCAGCTTAATAGACATTAATTAGCATTTTTGCTACTTTACCTGTTAAGTGTCAAATGGCATTAATTTTTAAATTTGTATCTTGTCTTCATTTTGTCCTCCTCTTGCTACTGTTTCTTATATTTCCTTTCTTGTGATACTTAGTTTTTATGGAATCACCATTGTTCTTTGCTTGGCCTACACATGTCAACACATCAATCACAGGCACTGAAACTGTTAGTATTTTTGGCATGGTATATGTTTTTTAGAAATTTGAATATGTTGTAACATTATCATTGTAAAGACATAAGAATACAACACTAAATTTTTTATATATAAAATTATTGTTTATTCACTTTTGGTCTTTGTCAATTAATGTTGACATGATAGTGCATGGTTTTGAGGACTTTCTTCAAATGTTGATCTACTTCTTACAAGAATGTGAAAGGTTCTGGTTTTTCTCTCTTGTATTATATAAGTTACTGTCATCCAGTTGTCCTGTGTGTGTGCACTTCCTAAATTCAGTTGGGTCAACCACCATTTTACATGTCAGGGACAGACACTGACATAATTTGAGGCCTAATTCTTCACTTGGTGCTCATGAGGTCACCCTCCAGATCAACATTTTGATACACCTTCTAGATCAACATTTTGATACACCTGGTGGCTATGAGGTCACCTTCTCAACATTCTGATGCTCCTGGTGGCCATGAGATTACCTTCCAGATCAACATTCTGATACAACCAGTGGCTATAAGGTCACTTTCCAGAACAACATTCTGTTGCACCTGGTTCTTTTATTACTCAGGTTTAACACTAAGTGCAATGCCTACTTTGGTATCTCTTAGAGTGAGCCCAATACATATTGTGGTCACCACAGATTAACTTGTTTTAGAACATGTCAACATAACTGACATTAAATTCAGTTCAGACTTCTTGATATTTCCTGGTGTGAATCACAAACTACAATGTTATTAACAACTATGTATCTAACTAAAACCTTGTTTGGCACTACATGATCACTAGTACAGTCCCTATACCATAAAAAATTATTTACAAATCTTAGAGATTAAAATGTATATAGAATGGTTCCCAGATGCATTCAAAAGCATGAATTTGTGTCTGACTATCATATTATTAAAACTTATTGAGAAATAACATGAATTTTTGAAAAATGCTGATGACTAATGGACAAAATGAAATTGTGTGGAAGCAGTTAACCGATATGTATAATTGTTTTTGTAAATTTATGCTTTTGCTTGTTCCTCTTGGTTTTAGGAGTCTGGACCCTGGAACAGCGTGGGGAAGAACCAAAAGTGGACATTACATTTGACAGTGCTAAGCCAACCCTAACTCATATGGCTCTTGTAGCCTTAGAGAGACAAGGCAAGCAAATGTTTTCAATCATTTGAAGATTTTCTGTAAAATATAAGAGAATTACAAGAAAATAAAAACAATTTACATATTTATATAAATATGTCTATAACAACTTTGAATAATGTATGTATTTCCTAATATATATGTGTGTGTATATATATATATATATATATATATATATATATATATATGTATGTATGTATGTATGTATATGTATGTATATATATGTATATATATATATATATATATATATATATATATATATATAAAAATCTACACATTCAATTAAAAATCAAAATCATCTTTGATAATGGCTAAAAGAATAGAGTACCTCACTGCTACTGCTTGATCTCACATTTTCCACTAACATGAAGATTGATTATATTGAATCAATTGGTAAGTTTGCTGCAGGAATTATATTGCCACCTATTCCACTTTTTTTTTTTTTTTTTTTAAATCATTTCACCCCCAAGCAAGGTGGTAATGCCACTAGAATGGAAGGAGTTAATGGAAGTAAAACAGAATAAGACTTTAGTGAGAAGAAAGGACAATAAAAGAACTGGTTTCAGGATGACAGAAGATGACAAATGACATTGCATTTAAATGTTTGACCATTGTATGTGACAAGGAAGTAAGAAATTAGAAGTGAATTCCACAGGCAAGAAAACAAACTATTAGGATAATCCGGAAACTCAAGATACAGTTCCTTTGCAACTGGTAGATGTTTGCAAACATAGACACCAAGGCCGTGCATGTGGGCACTAGAGTTCTTTCGAAAGAGAGGAAGATAGCCAGGAACTGAGAATTCAGTGGAAGAGACTGAAGAGTTTAGATTAGTTTCACAGAGGGCTAGGATGGTTGGAGAATGTTCAAGATAAACAATTCTACACTGAAGAAATTGGTATAAATACCACAAGTGTGGGAGAAAAGGTTGAGGGGCTTAAGTGCTTTTTTTTTGCAAGATGGTTTAGTTAAATTTTGTTTAATCATTTTGGTCATGATATAATGGAAAAGGCCAAGAATAATAGTAGCTACCAGTTGTCAAAAGCAACATGAGCTGGCTGGAAATTGGTGCCAGATTACTTACAAACATGACTCAAATTTTTAGGTTAATGTTTTGATTCTGTAGCAAATTGCAGTGTTGAGAAAAACTATCTCTATCACTATGTTCAATTTCTTTATCTCCTATACTAAATTTGTTATAACTAATCCATACACTGAGGTATTTAAGGTGTTTATCATTTACTAATTCCAAATCAATTTAATTGTATGTGTCCAGTTTAATTATTTCAAAAGGAAAATCAATTGCTTTTTATTTTTTCATGGGTAGGGAGTGAGAAGAGAGTGACTTTTTTTTGTTAAACATTTAACTGCATAGTCAGCATTTATCATAGTTCACTTATATCAGCAAGATTGAACCCATATCCTCCTGCTATCAGTTTAAACTGGTGCCTTCTTTTTTCTGCATTAACGTTAATTTTGGTTCATCTTTTTAATTACTTTATTATGAACATTAAGCAAATTAGTAAGAATATATGGAAAAATAAAAAATGACAGTTTAAATTGATGCTAATAGAATATGGATTTATAAGATAGGTTATGATAAAAAAAAATGGTAATAGAATAATTTCTACTAGAATTTTATATTTTACTTTTCATTACAGGTTTCCTTCAGTTTCTTATCAGCCAAAACATTGACGGATTGCATTTAAAGTCTGGATTTCCTCGGAACCGTCTTGCAGAGCTGCATGGAAACATGTTTGTAGAAGAATGTGATAAATGCTGCGTTCAGGTAAGATTTAACTTTGCAAAAATAATCTGTTAGTTTGAGTCTTGTTAAATATGTGTGTTTATGTGCTTATCTATGTAATGATAAATAATTAATTTTGTTTATAATAGAACCAAAAATAATGTTTTTTGTTCTATTATAAACAAAATGAGTTATTATTATCATTATAGAGTAGCAAGTAGCAATTGTCAAAACTGTGAAATACTGGAAAACTATTGTCATTAGAATTTGCATTCTGTCTAGGCATCCTCATTTTTATAAAAAAAAAAATTATTATCATTTCACCACAAGTAAGGTTATAAAAGCCAGTAAGATGCAAGGGGTTACTGAGGGTGAAAGAACCAAAGAACAATTAAAGAATAGGATTCAAGGTGACAGAATATGACATTGCATTTAAATTTTTGAAGATTGACTGGGAAATAGAAAGTTGGAAGAGGTACATAAGTGAGAAGTGCAGGAGAATAAAATATTAGCATAGAACTTACGGTTGCAACTAGCAATTTCAACAGTGAAATTATGATAACTAGTTGCCAATCTAGTACTGCACTTAAAGCCACGGTATCAAAAAGGAAAGGTCATCAGAACAATTATCATAAAAATATTTATAGAAAAGGCACAGAGTGTTATATTGTCTATGGGAAGGTGACCAAAGCTATGATGCCAGATCAGGATCGATAATATTGCAGATTCTTCTTTGGATTTTGTCAAGAACATCTAAAAGAAATGTTTTTAAAAATCAGATAACTTTTTTTTACAAAAATTATCTCTATTTAATTTTTGTTGCATTTAATGTAATTTTAGTGAATGCTACAAAATAGATTGTAGTAAAAGATTTTCTTTAAATTAAATCATGAACTGATTCTTATATTTTTAAAGAATTTTATACATTTATTTTGGTCTGACAAGATGCAAAAGAAGACAGAAAAACACCAAAAACTCAAGCAGAAATAGAAATTATGCTTCAATTACATAAAATCTCTTCAATAAATATGACAGTTTGTTGATATGAATTCCATCTGAGACAATTGCATGTTTTCACACATCCTTGAAAAGGTATGAATTCATCTCTTCTCCCTCCAGCTAGGGTTTAATAGCAGGGCAGATTGGGTTCTCTAGCCTTGGTTGGCAACTAATCTAGGAGAAAGACAACTCTAGATCCCAAACAAGTTGTTGGTGGAATTAGCAATGCCATCCTGTAAAAAAGCTTACTTGCTACAGAAGCCACAGCAACAACACCTGGCACAATGAATCTGTGGCCCTATACTCCACAAGGTTAGCACACATACTGTTAATATGTCTAAAATCAAAAGTATGATGTAGATGTCTTTATGGGTGTTACAAATACAAAATTCAGTAGCATACAATCTTTGGCTGTTCTGCATCTTCATCTGCTACCAAATATGTATATTGTGAGTTTTAATATCAAAAGATTCAGTTCTTTTGCTGCCATATTTTTGGCCAATGTCAAACTTTCCCAAAAAATCATGAAAGAATATTTTCACAAATGAAAATTTTAAATTAAAACACTGCACAATACTGATCATTTATATTTGAGAATGTGACATCAGGCTTTAAACCCCGTCTTGGGTATGACAATAAACTACATCCGCGTCCAGGGTAAGACAATAAACTACGTTCAACAGCAAGGCCTCTGATCAGGAGGCTTTGAGGAGCGTGGAACCACATCTTAATTACTGATGTTCCCAGGTCCACCCTGACCCGGGGTGGTAGCACCTGTTAGGGTCCCAGCTATAGGCAAATAGTTAACCCCGAAACTGAGGTAAAAAGCATTATAAAAGTGTAAAAATAAGTTTTTAAAAACCACAAATACTTTGTAAAAAATTATTACCAGAAATAAGTTTTTGAAGGAAAAAAGAAAAAAAATTACCAGCAATACATTTTTGAAAAAAACTATTACCAGCTATACATTTTTGAGGAAAAAAATATTAACAAAAATAAATTTTTGACAAAACAAAAATATTACCAGGAAAAAAAAAAGTTGTCAACATTAAATGACCCATTGAGGTTGATATGCTGTAAAACAAAATAAACTAAATCAAACCATGCTTTAAAAACCAAATGAAATGAAATATTTTTGTTATAAATTCCTGAAAACATCACATTAAACATCTCTTCATGACAATCTAGCATTCAGTTGGAGGGGAGACAACCGAGCTACTAAGTCTGACTGTAATTATTACCTGAGCATATTAATAAATAACATGATGTAATTAGTAATTAGTCATTCCCTAAGGAAAATATTTGGCATTCATTGACCAAGCAACCAGTACTGTTTTTAATTGAAATTTATAAAATCTTTCTCTTAACACAATGTTTTAGGGAAATAGGTTTCTCAAATTCAGTAGCTGTTTCTTTCCCATATTGATTGGAGGGGGGTCCTTCTGAATATTCTATTTGTGTGAAAAGTTAATATTTTGATTCTGTCATTACTTTCTATTTGAGCTACATGAGATATCCATTTTAGTTGTTGCTGCTGTTGGTAGTCCTCAAGTGATATGGTTTCTGTTATTTGGTACAGTTCTTTGTTTGCAATTCTGTAGTGCCAGTCCACAATGTTCAAAGTCGCCAAGACTCTCTTGCTTCACTTACTCAAAATCTTTTTCTCCATTGATTTTAGAAAGCGGTTGTAGGCAGTACATCTGTTTAAAACACTTGTTTTTGTCATATAGGAAAATCTAACATGGCACTTAAACAAAATATTTGTCGAAAATTCCCATTCATCAGTAACATTAAACCCTTCATATAATGCAAAGTTCTCAAAGAAAATCTATGCCAAATTGTTTTCCTAAATCCTCAATGAATTGGCCATCTGAAAATGACAACATCAAGATGAAACAATGGAAACTGACTGTGGAAAACACAATTATGTACAAGTTTTTGATCAATCAGTTACCTTCTAGATGTTTTTGGGCCATGTTATTGGAACCAGACAGCTATTGTTTGCACATGGAATTATTCACTAGTAATTAATCTTCGATTTGGCTGTGAAAAATGTTACCCGGGGGTTAGCATTAAAAAATTATGGCCAATTTTCTGAGAAAAGTCACTTTTTTAATGAAAAAATAATTTTTTTCACTTCAAAACAATTTTTTTTCAAACTTCAATCCTTTCTCTTTAAGTTAGTGCGAACTTCCTTGAATAAAAGGAATAGCTATACAACCTGATGATGGGGAAATACAAAGGACATGCAGTGGGAAAAAAAAAACAGTGTTTTTGTCATCATCCAGGTCACAAGGTGTTAAGAAAAAAAAAAAAAAAACACCTCAAGCTATATGTTCAATTTTTTTTCACATCTTTAACTGACACCATCTGGACTTTCTCACATAGGTTTGAAAAAAATAACCCATATCAAGCCCTTTAACAATGGTCCCTTTTTTTTTTTTTTTTTTCACACTTTGCTCTTGTAAGTGGTGGGGGTTTATCACCAGCAGCTGATGACAGGTCGTTTTATTGCTGGTTGGCTGGCTTTGAGCCAGCCATGTCAAAGTCAATTTGGCTTAATTTGAACTCTATTTTCCTGTTATTTTTGTGATGGTTTTTACTTAGGATAGAAAATTTTTACATAAGCAGATCTGAATTGACTTTATTTAAGCTTAGGGGTGAGGGGCTATATGAACCCTCAAACATATGAACCCTGATGTTTTAGATATTTCTGAACATGTTTGGTGCCTTACATGACTTCCATATGAAAGTCTCGATCTGACAAGGCTATTTAAGAACATGACTCAAGTTTTTAGGTTGACGTTTAGGTTTCATAGCCATTTGTGGTGTTGGGTAAAACTACCTTTGCACAACCTATTCTATGTTCTTCTTTTTCTCCTTTATTTAATTTGTTATAGCTGATCCATACACTGAGGTATCTGAAGTGTTTAGTATGCAATGAACACACACACACAAAATGACTGTATAATCTAAAACAATTTCAAATGTAGATATTTAAGTTTGAATACTTTTCTTCTTTTGTAGTATATTGGTGAGTTTGCTGTATCAACAATGGGATTGAAATTCACTGGAGATAAATGTACTCACAGCAAACCAAGAGGCATTTGCAGGTTTGATATAATTTTCTATTTCCATTTCTTATGCTGATCTTTATTAATACTTAGAGATATATAGAATTTTTCTCAGCAGAATCTGTCTTACACATTTATTAATCTACTATTCATCCCCGCTTGAATATTGTTGCCATATCTGGTCTGGTGTTCCTGTTACATATTTCGAGATTCTTGACAAAATCCAAAAAAAGGTCTGTAATGTAATTGGTCCTGACTGTTACAGAATATGAAAGCCAGGGCGAGAATGGTCAGTGATTGGCCAGAATGACTTGTGGGCATGGTATTCTGACAGTGATGGATTGCCTCTGTCTGGATTTTGGATAAGTCCAAAACTGTGCCAATTCAACAAAGGGCTGCAAGAATTTTTCAATACACTTCCCACACCCAGGTTCAAGAAACGGGCTAAGCTCACACATGTGTTCACATGACATGATCCCTCCTGATGTTTCTTAGAATCAAAGCTGCCATATCTGATACTCTCTTCTAATAAAAACAAATAAGAAAAAAAAAATCATCCTTTTTGTTAATACCATTTTTTGTAGTAGCATGGGGGCCCAGAAACAACACAGAATGCAACATATCTTGGCTTCAGTCACTTTCCCACTATCATGATGTTGTTTCCCTCTGTCTTTTCTACAAATATTTTCATGGTAATTGTTCTAATGAGCTTTCCTCCTTGGTATCTCAACTGCATGAATTTAAGCATACTACTATTGGCTATTAGGTTTCACCATCTTTCTAGTGAACTAACTAGATGTAATCATAGTTTCTTTTTGTGAAATCCTCACCTGTGAAAGGTTCTTACAGTTTCTTGCTTCCCTGCCACCTGCAATCTTCAAAAATTTAAATGCAACATCAATTGCTACCTTCTGTCTTCCTGTATCCTATCCTTTCTCCTCACTAAAGTTTTCTCATTCTCTGTCAATCCCAGCATCCACTTGTGTCCTAGTGGGATTATCGCCTTGCTTGTGGTGAAATGATTAAAATACCATAAAGAAAGATATTCTAAATAACAAAAACCACATCACTTAAAGACTTTCAACTGTAGTAAAAACTAAAATATATCAACATGTTGGCTTTCCACACTACCTTAAGCAAAAGGTTAAGAAGGAAACTTCCATCAGTACTAGAAAGAGCAATAACAGCAGACTTGAGAAACTTATTTTCCTGAAAAACTGTTTCAAAAGAAAGATTTTATAAATTGCAACTGACAGTAATACTAACTCTTTGGTTTGGTTAATGAATGCCAAATGTTTCCTTACAGGGAAAGGCTAATATAACAATGAACAGTATTAGTTTGTTTTCATTCTTTGTTGTAAAAAAAAAAAAAGCAATTTTAGCATACACTTTTCTCATAAGAATACTGGATTTTCTTTGCATTCCTTGCTTGTTTTTAATTTTGACTTTATTTTATTTTTTTCACTCAATTTATCCTAAGCAAGGTGATAAACCCACTAAGTTGAAAGGGGTTACTGGGAGTGGAAGAGAATGAGAAGACTTTAGAAGGAACTAGAAACCCAATTCTATAAATAAATAAATAAATAGTAAATAAGATATCAGAATTTAGGTGGAGACCTTAGAAGTATAGAGTTGAAGTAGAAGGAACTGGAAACCCAATCCTAAACAGGAATTTCTACTCCAATTTAAAAGATTGGGGAGGGGTGTGAACCAAATGATAGGCAAGCCTATCTACTCCTATTAAGGAAAAGCAAAAATAAATCTTACTTATTATAAAACGCAGATTGTGTGTGTGTGTGTGTGTCTGTAACGTTTATATATTGGATCGGATTTCCTACACTTTTCAACAAAACTTCACAGGACTACATAAAATTACCTTGTGGTGGTTTTAACAGCACCAAAAATGGGAAAAATATAATTGTTTTTTACAAAAATCAATTTTGAAAACACGATTAAGAGACATCGTTGAAAATGGAAGAGGGACAACTCACATCGGGTTGTTTGTGTGTATGGGAGCCGGATTTCCTATATTTTTCAGCCGATAAAACAAAAATTCACTTTTTTTTTTTTTTTTTTTTTTTTTTTTTTGCAGGTAGTGTTTCTTATTCTCTTGCACACTTTTTCTTTATTTTTAACATTCAGAATGCTTTAAAATTCCATTTACAAGACAATCATTTATAATAAAAATTCAATCAGGAGACTCATAACGATTGAAAACAATGTTTTTGTTTGAGTTTGGGTTTGACCACTTAAAAAAATAAAAAAATAAAAAACTATTTAAGACATGCGTGTCCGTCAACCTTAAACAATAATCTAACGATCTATACTGATTGTTCTGAATACAAACATCGGATAAATTCTTTATCTTTAGGGAAAGATAATGAAATCTAAACATACACAAGTCCTAACTAAAAATAATAACCGGAATGGGAAACTACTTTAAATACACATGGTGTCCAATTTTTTACTGTATTCAATAAGTAAAAATCATAAATTAAAAAGATTATTATTACAGAAAGGCTACTAAATGAATAAGATTTGTTAGATCATAATTAATAAACCCAAATAAAGTTAATATTTTTTGTATTAGAAACAACAAGTGGAAAATATATTCAAATCAGAATTCTAATTATGAATCACCACAAGCAAAATATGCAATTTTTTTTACTGTATTCAATAAGTAAAAATCATAAATTGTAAAACTAAAAGATTACAGAAAGGCTACCTACATTTTTCAACCAATTTCAACAAAACTTCACTTTTTTTTTTAGATGTAGTGTTTCTTATTGTCTTGCACTTTTTTCTTTATTTTTACATTCAGAATGCTTTAAAAATTCCATTTACAAGACAATTGTTTATAAAATTCTATTCAATTGGGAGACTCATAACGATTGAAAACAATGTTAATGAAACTTTCAGAAACTATTCACAGATGATTGAAATTATTATAAATATGTTTTTTTTTTTATTAAAGTCATGGCAGAAATATTTTTTTATATTTATTAACACCCCCATAACTAATTTTATGAAAAACTCTAGAAATTCGAGACCATCGGTTTTAGTGATTACAATAGTTAAATGCACAAGGCTTTGAAGAATGCAAATCATATTTTTTTTTTGTTTTTTTGCCAACGTACCTGAAAATCAGCTGTAAATTGTAACATACAAAACTCAATAAAACAAATATATTATTTAGTTTCAAATGCTTTTATTTGTTTTAATTTGTTTTTATGAATATGGACAATATTTTCTGGAAGCAAAAATTTTTTTCAATGAAAATTGAATTTTTAATACAATTATTTCTTATTTCTTTAATTTTAAAATTTTTTTAAATTGAATTTTTAAAAATATTTTAACATTAGTTAAAAGCAACATCAACCTTTCAAAATGTCCGTGTGAGATTGTCATTGTCTAGTGCTTTGAAAATTGTATAATTTGGACCAATCAGATTAGCCATGGTAATTAAGAAATGTAATTTTGTGTTTATAGTCGGACAGTAATTATCAAGTACGGAAGACCAACCAGAATACAATTTAGTTGCATTATTTGAGTTCAGCATTGTTCTCCGCTGTTAAGCCCTTTACTTTTTTACGAAACATGTATGGAGAAGTTAATTTGAGTTTTCAATTTCAACTGAGAAGGGTACCTACAAGTAACAGTATCATCTTATGAAATTTAACTACTGCTAAACTTTAATTTATATGATCTTATTTTTTATATTAATCTCAGTTATGAAATTTTTCCATAAATGAAATATCAAAATTAATAATAAAATGAATGGAAATACAAATAACACAGTAAAATGTAATAAATGTACATAAAATTATAGTATTTTATGTACACTTCTGATAAAATTTCATAAGAAAGGTACCTAAATTAATTAGATACCTTTTCTTATGAAATTTAATCTCACTAATTAACAGTCTTATTTTTTAATTTCTTTATATTTTCCATAAAGCATCGTGAACGTAAAAATGAAAGCTAAGTACAAAAAAAAAAAAAAAATAAAAAATTAGAGCACTGAAAGTTTTTCCTTAAAAGTAACAAGGTAAATAATTTGTTCACTTAAATAATTTCACTTGCTTCCATCCGTGAAAAATTCTCCTCCGTAAGTTATCTAAACGTCATGAATGTGCCTTTCGTCAATCGTCAAGCGGCAAAAAGGTTATGACCTGTTTGTTTTATTTTCAAATTACATTTTTTTGGCGCAGAAGCTAAGTTAAGCTTGGTTCAAAATATTTTAAATAAACAGTATAATTTCTGTTTTTATTAAAATCAGTTTTGAAAAATGATAATTAATTTTAAAAGAATATCAAAGTAAGATTTTAATCTTTTTTATCAAATTGAAAAAATGATTGAAAATGATTATCTGTCCATTTTTTTTTTGAAAAAAAAAAGCAATATTTTTAACGAAAATTTCAGACGTGCTAGGAACGATTAAAAATGTAAAAAATACCCCAAAATACTTTGATCTTTCCACTTTCATAATAATAATATGAACATTAGACGATAAAATTTTGTTTTTAAATCAAGTTAAAATCTTTTCATCATGCTATGTTCTTTTGTTTACATTTTCGAGGGTGAGTTGTCCCCTTTCATTCTCATGATGTGTCTTAATCGTGTTTTTTCAAATTGATTTTATTAAAAAAAACAACTGTGTTTTTTCCCATTTTCGGCCCCGTTAGAACCACCACAAGGTAATTTTATTTAGTCCTGTGAAGTTTTGTTGAAATCGGCTAAAAAATGTAGGAAATTCGATCCAACATATAAACGTTACAGACACACACACACACACACACACACAATCTGCGTTTTATAATAAGTAAGATTAGTTTGTCAAAATATTGTAAACATTTTAGAAAGTACTCTTGATTACTGTAAAAAAATTACATATTTTATTTTAATGTATTTTTACAGTTCTATAGTGCAGAATTCTTTTTTTTATATCAAATCTTGTGTTTGTTTTTTATGTGGCTGTTTTAATTAACATCTAGTTTTGTTTATTAATCATCTCTAAAATGATTCACTTTTCATTTTCAGAGGAAAGCTGATTGACACCATTTTAGATTGGGAAGACAACCTTCCAGATGATGATCTTGAGCATGCAAACAAAGAAACAAAGTAATACATTTCTTTTACTTTGATTAACCATTGAATCAATAAATTAATTCCTGCAAAAATTTCCCATCCTAACCTTAATGAAACACTAGAAAATTATTCCAAAAATAGACTACACAGAAAATTAAAAACAAAAAAATCTTAAAATTCAACAGATACAACTTTTTTTCAAAGCCCTTATTTACACATCAGCTTCTTAACTTGTTCAATCCAACTACAATTCTAGAAAATTTCAAAATATTGTTTACAAAATACTTTCTTGTAAAATTATTTCTCTGATCTTTTTAATTCATAAATTTAAATTTTACTTACCATTTTTGAAAAAATAGATTGTCATCAAAACTATTTTAAAATGAATACCAGATAATTGGAAATTTATAGCTTTTTTTTCTCTAATATGATTTTACTTACAATCTTTAAATTTTTTCCGCTTGTTTTTTAGGAAGTCCGACTTAAGTGTTTGTCTGGGTACTTCTCTTCAAATTAATCCAAGTGGACGAATCCCTGCTCTAACAAAACGTAATGGGGGTAAGCTGGTCATTGTCAACCTACAGCCCACCCAGCTTGAGCGACAATGTGATCTTCACATCTATGCATATGTTGACCGAGTGATGAAAAGGCTGTGTGAACTGCTCCATGTTAATATCCCAGAATTCACTAGTTTCTCATTCTGCCTGAAGTCAATAAATACACAGCCTTATGAAAAAATTCCCAAGATGTTCTTCAAAGATCGGAAACCATATATTAAGCCGAAACTTCAGGAAAACAAAGATGATAACGGCAATGAAACTCAGGACTTTGATGCTAAACCTTGCCTCAGATCTGAGAAATCAGATAAGGACTCTTTGTCAAGAGTTAAATTAGAAAACCATCGTGAGAGGCAGTGTTCTTGCCAGGGTGCAGGCTCAGAGCAACCCTCTGGTTCCTACTGTTCCAAATGTGACGCACCTGTGCCTCGTGTCAGGAAATATCCCAAGCGAGCAGCATCAGATTTGTCAGGTGGCTATCGAGCACAGCTTAGCTCTTCAGATAGTGACAGTGATGATGATAATTTCAAAATAGGGAATTATTTTAAAAAAAGATGCCTTTAGTATTTTGAATACAGCCTCCAGTCTGTAATTTTCGCTCACTGTAAAAGAAACGTATTCAGACTACACTCTCATCTTAAAGAAGTGTTGGAACTCACAACATTTTTATCTGGTTTGAATATGCTGACCGTGGTCAGGATCATAGTCATACTAAACTCAACAATTCTTTCATTAGCTACATAGTCTGTGCTTCGTCAGAGCTACATCAGTTATGTGCAATCTGTGATACACGCTTAGGCGATCATGTATCTTTTGATACATGACTGACGAGGCAGATTTCTTTCCCACAGTAGGTTGCCATTTCTTTCTGTGGTAGATCAGTTGCCATCCAAGGTTATAGAACCCGGTCTGTCCTGCTATTTACCCATAGCTGGAGGGAGAAGAGGATCCATACCTTCCCCAAGGGCATTAGCACCTAAGTGAATGTAATGGAATTCAGACTAGGCTCTCCGATTCCTCAATCCAAGCTGTTATCTATTGTTGTCCTTCTAGACTGCCTCCTAACCAAGGCTGAAGAGACTAGTCTACCCTACTATTTAACCCATAGCTGGGGGGTTTCTTGGATTCATGCTTTTTTCAAGGTTATTTGCACAACAATGAATATAATGAAACTCTACTGGAATATGAATTCAGCTCTCCAATTTTTTGTTCTGAGCTGCTATCCATTGCACCACCTGCACGTTCCTTTGCAGCTTACGGTCATATCACGTTGAAACACCAGTTCTCACCCATTCACCAGTTAAGCAACGTCAAACCCGGTCATTACTTAAATGGGTGACCACTTGGGAATCCAGATGTTGTAAGCTTGAGTGTGCAGGTGGTGTAATAGACATTGGCTCAAAATGAGAAATTAGAGAGCCAAATTACATTCAATTATGCTAAAGTACCCTTGGGAAAAGTATGAATCCATCTCTCTTCCCCTAACTATGGGTTAAATAGCAGAGCAGACTAGGCTCTTCAGCCTTGGTTGGTAACCAGTCTAGAAGGAGAACAACTCTGAATTCAAAAAACCATATGTAGCCCTGGTGAAGCACATACTAATTGCAGCTAATGAAAGCATTGTAGAGTTCACAATGACTCTATGATTCCAACTGCTGTCAGTCTAACAAAAATTATAATAATTGAGTATGCCACCAAGCTCCATAACATCCCCTGGAGAAGGTTGGAGATTTGCCTATTGAAATGATTGTGATTTTTAAACTGTGCTTTAAGATGTGAATGATGTCCAGATAATTTACTCCCTCACAGTGTCCGATAATTTAATTGTTGGTTTATTTAAAATGAGATGCTGTGCCATCAATATCATGTTTCTTATTTGTTATTTTTAATTTTTTTTTTAATCATCTGTACATTACAAATTATTTCTTCTGTATCATTACCACTAGGGGCATTTATCCATCATTTCTTAAATTTCCTGAAATCCATTTTCTAACAATTAGTGATTTTTATCTCTCAATCAATGAATTAGCATCGATCAGAGAATATTGACAATCATGGTTTTTTCCAAAGCTTTTTCTGCCAGATGAAAACAAAAAAGAAAAAAAAAAAACAAAACTGCATTTTCCTAACATTCTAAACTGTTTTAGATTAGTGGTTTGACATTGCCTTCTACTAGTTGGTTCAGGTCCAAAATTAAGGAACCATATCATTTTCTTTTGTTCAAGAGTCCTTTTTTATTCTGGTAAAATTTCAGTTTTTACAACTCTAAAGTTAGTGATTGCACTATCAAACTAATGGACTAAAACCAAACATGGATTCCACTGATCGATTTTCTAGTAATATATATATATATATATATATATATATATATATATATATATATAAGGAGAAAATGAAATATTGTATAAAGCCTTAACATTCATATATATATATATATATATATATATATATGTGTGTGTGTGTATGTATAATTTATTGAAGTACATCAATAATCTGCAGCTTAATGATGAAAAAGCATTTATTTTATGCAAATATTTTTCAACATATCCTTTGATCATGCATTTAAGTCTGGTGAATATCATTTTTCACTTTCATGCATTTAAGTCTGGTGAATATCATTTTTCAAGGCAATAAAGCCACTAAGACACAAGCAGTTACTGAGTGTAAAAGAATGAGAAAAAGAAAGACATTATTAAAGAGAGAGTTTGTTCTCTCTTTTTAATAATGATTTTCTTTTTCTCAAAGAACAGGAATTAAGATGGCAAGAAAACAATTAATATTGTATTTGAATTTTTGAAAATCAAAGTTGACTGAAAAACAACAAACCGGAAGAGAGTTCCATAAGCAAAAAGTGCCAGGGAATAACTATTAACACAGAACTTATGGTTACATCTAGCAATTTCAACTGTAAAATGAGGAGACCTAACTGCCAATCTAGTACTGCACTTAAATTCATAAATCAAGGTCCCAAAGAGGAAAGCTTATCAGAACAATTACCATGAAAACATTTATAGAAAAGACATAGGAAAAGTATGTAACAGTGATGGGAAAGTGATTGAAGTTGTGATGCTAGATCAGGACTGATAACATTGCAGATTTTTCTTTTATATAATTATAACTGTAGTAATATATAAATGACTGCCTAATTAACACAGCTAAGGCATAGACTATATAAGTGCCCAAGCAGTTAAGGGAGGTGCAGAATATGATACATGAGATCAACAACTAGTGCTAGACTGAGAAAATACAAAGGAAATCATATTTCATAACAATGACATTTAATACTGACATGTTACTAATTTTTGCCAAGATGAGGCAAAATTTTGTGGACAACTTGTATATAAGTAGGCATTTATAGACAGGTGAAATATATCTGCACATACAAGAGTAAATCAATAAATCTGAAGCTTGACAGGTATTAGCTGAATTTTTATAAAAGAAATTCACTATAAGGTTGAATATATGTGATTAATATACACTACTGAATTCAACAAGCAAAAAGATTTAGTTGAAAAATAGATATTTGTTGTATAAAATACTTTTTTTGACATGGTTAGGCTATGGACTTATTGATGCACCTACGTATACACAACTATGTATATATACTGAACAAAAAGCCTTAATACTCATCCAGTGGCATTAAGTACATAAGGTCCATAGTAAATCCTGAAAAAGATTTTATTCAATATTCAAAGTAATGCACTATTCTTTATTAAAATTTATCCAACCTGCCTCGTGTTCATTATTATTATTATTTTGAGAATATATTTATGCAAAGAATAATTCCATATTTTGAAAATTTAAGGCTGTTTACAAAAAAATTTTTCCATTTGCGTTAAGTTAATAATAAATACCTTTTTTTCTGTAAAAATGTTATTTAATCTATATGTACATAAAAATGTTATCACTTAACAACAGTTTGATCTGCAAGATGTCCCATGATGAAAGCTTAGAGAAAAATTAGTCTGGAAGTTTTAAAAAATAAATACTGAAAGCCAAGTAAACTGTGTGGTCTGAAATTAAGTTCAACAATTCATTCCTTAAAAGATTCATTCGTTATTCATAATTATTTTTCATAGTCCCCCCCCCCCAATAATATACTGTATTTTCTTGGGGTGGGGGTATTTTAAATTTAAAACTACTGCTTTTCAATGCGAAATACATTCAGTTTATTAGAATCCTGGATTATCTCCCTTGCTATTTAGCCTGTTTGTTTTTATTACAACTTAAACTAGTTAAACATTTATGGATTTTACATTAGGCTATTACTGCTTTAATAAGTCTTTCTTTTAAAGTTTTTACCGTGTAAATAATCTTACTGATTACATAAAAGCAAAAAACAAACTCTGACAATTTTTTTTAAATAAAAAGAATCTTTATATAAATTTATAATATATAAATTTTTACATTTTTGGTAGAAATATAATACTATCAGATTTAAAGCTAATGCACAATATATTGGTGGTATACATTACTTTTTTATTCTCCCATATTTGTACATTATGCCGTAGCAGAGTTACTGTTAGATAACCTGATTTAGATTTTAGCTTATTTTTCTACAACAAATACCAAATGCATCAAGGGAGTTTGTCCTGGAAAGAATCCAGCTATTTTGAATGTCCCAAGAATAGGATGCATGGTTTTTGTATAATTTAGAAACCAATTAGAGAATATTTTACTAAACATGTGTGAATATTCACTCTCCAGTAGGTTTATTCTGTCAGTAGCAAGATTTTGTGCAGCTATCACATTAACAATGGTCAAGCAAGTAGATCAGAGCATCTGCATCAAGTTTTGCTTTGAATGACTAAAAAATGGATTTTTCAAAGATGATTCAGTGAATGAAGCCCAGGTAAAATTTTGGTATCAGTACTTCAAGCTTGACTGATGATACATTGACAGTTATCTATATTCTTTGAATGATCAAAAATATTGATTGTATGCAAGTTGTGATCAAATGGAATTAGTAATTGAATTAGAAGGTTTGGAAATTCTATTGATCATTGTTTTTTGACAGCAAAATATGTTCCACAGCTCCTGTTACAAAAGCAGAAGGCTATAAAGGACTTCCATGAAAAAACTGCTAAACACCTCCCACTCCAATTTCCTCAAAAAGGTCATAACTGGAAATGAGTTGTGAATCACAGCCTACAGCTATGACTAAAACAAAATCACAATCTCCCTAACGAATATGTGACAATGTTGAATTAGTATCAAGATAATGTTTTTTTTTTTTGTCACTTAATCATAGAAGAGTTATCCACCATGAGGGTTTTCAATCAGGCCAAACAATAAATCAGAACTACATTGAATTTCTTGTTCATTGAAAAACGCATTAAGAAGAAAATAGCCACAGCAAGTGATGACTGACACCTTCATCATGACAATGCAACTACTCATTCTTCATATCTCATGCAGTATTTTTTTAGCAAAATATCACATCAGCCAGGCTTGTAAGTTCCACTACAGTCCAGATTTCACCCCTTTGACTTTAAATTTTCCCAAAGCGAAACTTTCTTCTGAAAGGGAGGAAATTTCAGAACAGGAGCAAGATTAAGAAAGCA